GCCTCTGCCTCCTGGTCCGTCTTTGCCATTCGCTTGTGTAAAACATGCCCATCGCAAGAGAGCGAGGGCCCTTGGCTCGGTAGGTGTAGGTCATGTTGGAAACCGCGGTGGCTGCACATTTCCGTGGCTCCGAGTTCTGAACTTCGGCTGCTCGCTCGATTTGTTCTTTGGATTGTTGCGGGTTACGACTAGGTTTTTTACTTTTCGGACGGGAGAAATTTGGTGTCGTGAAATCTCGAGTTGTCGAGCGTTGTGACTGGGCGCTTCAGCGCGGCCGCATGTAGGGGAGTCATTGTGGTGGTGCTTAGGGTTTAAGTCGCTGCGAATCGGGAAAGTAATTGGGAGGTTTTCGGGTTGCTGAGATGCCGGGTCTCGCGTGCAACGCTTGTAATGTAGAGTTTCAGGATGAGTCAGGGCAGAAATCTCATTATCGGTCTGACTGGCACCGGTACAATTTGAAGAGAAAGGTACTCAACTGTGCCAAGAATCACGTGATGATAGATTGTGGCTTGGTTATCGGAGTGCCTCGTTTCCTTGCCGAGGAAATTGGTGTCATTATAAGTCTATATGGAGCTTGAGATGTGGTGTTGCTCTACTGTTTTATAGCGGAGTGTCACATTTGGATATGTACTCGTTTGCCAGTATTCAAGTATTGAATTTTATTGTAAAGGATTACATGGAAGGCAGAGCTTTTGGGCGTTTCGCTGCAAATAATAATAATATAATTCGCTGTGTCCGCGAGCATGTAGCTGATCGGCATGCAGTGCCAGTCTAGAATGAAACATCGTCTTCATTCCTCCCTTTAATGCATAGCAGACCATTAACCGTCAGTAGATTGCAAAGCTTGAATAGATGGGAGTGGAAGTTCAGGAGTATTGAATTTCCCTCTAAGTTGTATAGAGATTCCTAGATAATAATGGAAACACAGTGAACATTCTTGTCTGGTTCTTTGGTTGCGCTTGCTGAGTAAATTACATTCTGCAGGTCGCTGGAGTTCCCGGGGTTACTGAAGGACTTTTCAACTTGAGGTTAGAGGCATTGGCTGCAGAGAAGAAGAAGGCGGAAGGGCAACGTCTTCTTTACAAGTGCTCACTCTGTGGGAAGGAGTACTCGACAGAGAAAGCCCACACTCAGCATTTGCAGTCCAAGCTGCACATCAGCAAAGCTGCAAGTCTTGCAGATTCGTCAGGGGCAGGTGTTGCTGTTGTGAGACCTGCACCAGCTCGGCCAGTCAAGGAGCAGGTGCCCGTTGTAGAACCAAGGGAGGAAGAAGAAGAGACCGAGAGCAGCGATGAGGATTGGGAAGAAGTGGATGGAGATGAGGCCGAGGATGCTGTTATGGAACTTCGGGGTAATGAGGATGGCTCTGACGACAGGGCTGGCTCTAGTGGTGAAGTAATTGATGAAGAATGGGACGCAAGCCGTTGTTTCATTTGTGACTTCCAGCCAGATGGAAGCATCGAAGGTTGTGTAGAGCACATGCACAAAGTTCATGGATTTTTCCTCCCGGATGCCGAATTTTTGAAGGATCCTCAAGGAATGCTGAGTTACCTTGGTCTCAAGGTACGCTTGCTTCATGCTCTTAAGTCAAGTCAGTGAAGGGCTTAAGGTGCGGGAGTTTGGAATTAAGTCTTGCGAGTTTATGATCCAACGGATGCTCTAGTTCAGGTTTGAGGTTTGTAACAGAAATGTGGCCAATTGTTTGAACATTGTCTAAATGGGAGTCCAAGAGTAGTCACTTCTGAAGATGTATGTTATCCATTTTCACTTTCATTGTTGCTCAGCTGATGATGTTTTTTCTTCTGACATAGGTTACGAAAGGATTTATGTGCCTATTTTGTGACGATAGAGGTAAGCGCTTCCAAAGCTTAGAGGCCGTGCGGAAGCATATGGTGTCTAAAAGCCACTGCAAGTTGCGTTATGGCGACGGAGAAGGCGCAGCAGAGGAAGAACTGGAGGAATACTACGATTTTAGTAGCAGGTACGTTGAAATTTCCTGCTACTTAAATTCTTCACTCGGTACATTTGATTACCGACATCTAAGAAGCGTTTGGCACTCGCCGTTCACAGCCTGATATGTTTTGTGTTTGTATGTCAGCTATGTGGGCCCAGACGGGAAGCAGCTCGTGAAAATCGAAGATGGAGATGATGCACCCGCTGTGTTGATCAGTGGAGGTCTTGAGCTTATGTTGAAGGGCGATGATGCCGAAGGAAAGGCAACTAGAACAATTGGTTCAAGGGAGTTATTCCGCTACTACAAACAGAAGCCCAAACCATCTGATCAAAGAGACGGAATGGTCGTCAACGCAGTTATTGCAAGGTACGTCTGGCACTGTCTGTTATGTACGTGGGCACTAGGCTTGTACATTTAGACATGTTGACCTAATTCACAGACGGATTCAGCCATAAAGATGGATAATATCCGTCTTGCGTTTAGGTTGTCTGAACTGGTTTTAGATGATTAATATAGATTCTTGATACTGCTTATTCCGTCTCATTAGAAACTTCTTCTTTTGATTTCCTTTGAATACTAATTCGTGATTTTCAAATTTCAGATACCGCAGTATGGGATTAGCAACTAGAGAACCAACGGCAAGATATCCCAAGAGTGCAGATGGGAAGAAAACTAGAGCATCCAGATTAGAGCATATGCGTACACAAATTGGTATGAGGAATAATGTCAACTGGGACTTGCCCAGAAACGTACCATATTAGGAGGCACAGCAGCAGAATATCTCTGCCCATCCGGCACTTCCGCAAGCTGGCTCACGAAATATCGAAATTCAATTTTCCTGCAAGCAATTTCTATCATTGTGAAAAATATATTTGTCAACAAGTAGAAGGCACTCACGCGAGCCATCTTATATTTCACTTTTTAGTATTAGGAAGAAACAACAGGTGTCTAGAGTACTTGTTTCTGCCAGTGGGAGAGATGCATGTTTCTGGTGTCTGCACGTTTGTTGTCTGGGTATACGCGTAATCAGCAAAGAATGCCATGTGTAGCTCTTGTATCAGGTTTGGGAGCAGTCCATGATGGTGCATATGAAACGCTGGTAAGTGTTTTAGTGCACTTGTGCTAAGAAGGGAGTTTCGGAGGTTTACGGAACGGAACTTCTGTAATTACCATGTACAGCGCGATCAGGAATGTGGTTAGATGCACACTAAACACAAGTAATGTTTTACGTCCCGTAGAGCACGAATCAGACCACAATGAAATTTGATTTACCGTCATTAGTCTGTCCGGACTGCGGTAAGTTTACCCTTGACGGAGAGATTTCTATTTTCGTCGAGAATATAAAATCTGGTACAGGCCTCAGTGTTCACGTTTGCACTTTATGCGCAATATAACCGCCAAATTCAGTGTCACCATTCCTCAATTCTCCACATTGAAGTCAGATAAGAAAGCGCAAGTTGGGGTGCAGGGAGGTTATGTGTTATATACTGCGAGTTCTGTCCATGGTCTTAAAGAATACAATGTTGAACAGTTACAAACAGATCACACAATAAAATTCCCCAAGTATATTGTGTCGTCCAAAAACAACTAGATCATAAGATGTTTGAAGAGACGAAGAAGGCGTTCAAGGTAATTATTTTACTGGTAATTTGTTGATTTTCGGGATGCTACATCATGAAACGAAAGCATCAATACTATATAGAACCCAGTACTGTGGTGAAAACTATCATTGTGCAGGTATTCCGTATTGTACAGATATTCCGTATGCATGAAACTGGGCGAAAGCATCTTTCCAGCATTTCGTTTCAGGACAGGCAGACGCGGAAATAGAATGTATTCGTTCTAAGAAATAGAAATAGAAAGTCCGTTAGTGTGTTTGCATCGTAGTAACGTAAATTTACAACAGCATCAAATTCATGGTACACATTAAGACTGTAACCATCCACACTTTTATGAATTAGCTTTCAATATGAAAACTTTACTGCTGTATTTTACAAATTCAAGGATTGCAAGGCAACCTTGGCTGCCACAGACGCCAGAGTTTGCTCAGCATAGGGCGCAACTCGCTTGAGCCGCTGCAAAGTATCCATTGCCTCCATTGCGAAAAGACGTTCTTGTAGAAGCTTGTGTTGCTCTCCAGGGCTTGCACCTTTCCCCAGCAAGAAAAGCATACTATTAGTCCAACATTCGAACGCATGCTCCTTTGTCGAGAAGCCCAACAGGACCTCCGCTGACCAGTTGGCACTATACATCAACCCAGGTTTCACTTCTTATATTGGAAAATCTGATCCAAGAGTATCTGGGTGAGCTATTCCCACATAATCTGACGCTTTAAGCTCCCTCTCAGCATGACACAAATGCATTGAGGGTAGGATGTAAGGGTAGATGGATAAGCACCTGCAACCGGTTGCAAAGCGGCAAACGACAGCCTTTCCTCACGAGTGGGCACGTATGCTTCAGCAATATCATCAGGTTCCCCTTTCTTCGCCCATTGGAGAGCTCTTTCCAACGGCGTTTGTAGTAATTCGTCCTCGGAGACCTGCTTGCCATTCAGTACACCGAGGCATTGATCATACAACCCAAACTTCCACTGATCGATTTCAATAGCTAAAACGTAGACCTTTCTGCTTGAGAATGAGGGTCGTGGCAATGAGTAAACTCAGAACTCACTTCTGCTTGAAAGATAGGATCAATCACAGGACGGTTTTTAACCTTCAACTTTATCTGAAGATCTTGCACAGTTTGTAAAGTGTTTTGAAGCTGGTCCAAAGCAGATGACACAGCTTCCTCGTCTTTGGGTGCCTCGTCCTTCAGTGAGACGATTGTACTCTTCAAAAAGGGCTCCAGCTGCATAAAGGCGCGATCAATATTTTCAGATTGTTAGAATATACCTCACCCATGACATGCTCTCGAAAGCCAGCAATCGAGCAAAGCCACCAGCACAATGAAAGTCCAGTATACCTGAGTAAGACTGACGAGCTTTATCCGTCCTATGCCTCTAATGGTAACTGCAGCTCCTATATCCAGCCTCCTGACCTGCACACAGGCGGCCCCGTAGTCTAGTGGTTAGGACATTGGACACTGAATCCGGTAGCCCAAGTTCAAAACTCTTCGGGGCCTACTGAGCAGTCACAACTGCATCACTCTTTTCTCGGGGGTATCCAACAGTAGTGCGTTTTGGGTAAGATCTCCAATTTCTCGATCATCATAAAGCAAGATAGAGACTTGCAATACCTACCATTTTCGAACTGACGGTAATAACAAGTGCATTAAGCACGGGACAACTCAAATACAGTCCCGAAGTGAAACACACAAGTCACTCTGTGAAGGTTTGATTCAAGGTGGTTGATTTGTCACTAGTGCTCATCAAAAGCAAGGAGTTGGGTGGAGATCAGCATACAAGAATGTGATTGAAAAAGAACACAAGCTAGAAAGAAAGATCTCTCACATTTTCAACTCGCGCCAAGCAACCATAAGTCGCTAAAAAGGACGCCGTTCCTTTGCCATCCTCGTCATCTCGTCCAGGGCCCATCGGCTCTATAATGATGTGTGCAAAAAGATTGTTGTATTTCCCCATAACCTGCAACAAACAGACCATATGAGCCCAAGCCCCGCCGACCTCCATCTATGACTTGCCGTAAGGCACTGTTGAGAAGAAGAGCTTCAAAGAAATTGGACACCGTTGAAACTGGAGAGACAAACCTCCTCTAGAAGCGCCAAAAATCGTGCTTCGTAGAGATGTAAAATTTTTGTGGACGAAGGCACAAAAACCTGCGCAGAAAAGATCACCATTTCTCGTTACTAAGCCCAGAACTCGTGCAGAACCTACTATATAATTCCGTGTTTGGTAAAAACATTTCAGAAAGGAGTGTCTCTAATCGTTTCTGATCCAGTCTGACCATCGAGTACAAAGTCACACACACAAGAGTATTCACATTCTGTGCTAATCAGACTTAAAATTGAATAAATAGATGAGGGACTGGAAACCGAGATCTCTGATACATACTAAATATCATACCCAGCGAACGATCATGTTCCACTGTAATCAGAATCCGTGCTCTGTACAATACCTCGGCAGGGGAGAAAGGTAGACACGGAAGTTCAACGATGATAGCTGGTTCCCAACCATACAGACCCACACGAAGATGTTACTTTAATAGCAGAGGGCACCAACCTCGGCAGTTCATTTTACAAATAGCGTGTCTGACGATATCAGATTTAAGCAGACAAGTCAGTTTGTAAGAAGCATCCAAACAGCAGGGCACAATTTTGATACCACGTCTCATGTGTGAGCATCTGTGAGGGCAGTAAATACAACTCTGCAAATCAATTTGTGGAAAACTTGAATTTGGCACTTCAATTCGAGGAGGTAGGGCTCGGACCTGGCTAGATCTGCTTGATGTAATCCAGATACGAGCTGCAGTATTGCTCAAGAAAACTACGACACCTTCGAAGAGTTTTACAGCCACTAATCAGGCACTACATTTATTGTTACTACACAGGAATTGACCCTAAGACCAATTTTTCGAGCCCGGCTGTACACTCCTACACGACAACTAGCTCAGAGGGCAGAGAGATATAGAAGAGGTCAGAATCTCTAATCATATGTCAACAGGTGCAACGAAAATACATTCTCCGACAGGTGCTTTCACAACGGAAAATATCAGAGAGAAGCGTACCAACCATCCGAAAGGTTCCCGGTGCTCCCATTGAAGCAGCTTGTGCAGACTCGCCCATGCCTCCTCCTCGCGGCGGTCCTCGTGCCAATCCTTCCAGAGAAACGCAACTGTACACTCTCTACCTCCGACACAATCCTCCATGACTGTAAACAAAGAGAACGCCGAGGCAATTCTCCAAATTCTACCAAACTCTTCCCCTGAATTCCTGCTGCCAACCTTCGAGAGACGCTGGACGTCGCAAGTGAGAGCGAAACTCCATGACCACGCTCCGCAGGCACGCTCTGCACAGCTGTGTGCATGCCCACCGCCATAGCCATTGAGCTCCGCTCCTAATTCTGCAATTCCTCCACAACCAAAAGGCACGGCCTAATTTCGACCTGCGCTCCACTAAAACCCCGACGAAACATTTGAATGGTGCAGTACAATCGACAAATCTGGACAACTACAGTTGCCTTGTCTCAGCTATATCCACATGTACCCTACTTTCTCGCCTCCCAGCATTACACCATCCCTTGCTCCGTGATGCGTACCTGTGTGACCACTCTTTCTTCTTTGCTTGTTACTACGCCACATTAATCCTCTGTTATCACCTTTTTGGGGAGCCATCATCTAGTGATGGTTAGTTTGAAGTCTGATTCAGTTGGAATTCACAGCGGAGATGGTTGTGTCTAATTTTCGTACAAATGGAGATAAAGTTTGGATTGGATTTGATTTGATACATGACTTTTCACTTTTCGTTGTCACATTGATTGAATTTATTAAGATTCCACTGTATTTTTTACCCACTCAATTCAGAAAAGCTCATATAACGAGTATCTAATTTCTTTAAAAAATTCTAGGTAGCGGTAACATTCTCATACGCGAGTATGTAAATGTTAGAACGTTTTTGGAATGGATTAGAGAAGCACATGCATCAAAAGTTTTTTTTGGAACCATTTCTCCATATGATCACCACTCTTACATGAGTGGCAAATGATATATGAAAAGTTTTTACTCATCAATAATAAGTTCTATCCTTATCAACCAACTATATGAAGTAATTTTAAATTTATAACTTAAAGATTTTTGGCTAAATTGTTAGTACTATTTGAAACCGATTCATATGATAAATATATTTTATATTGAACCAAATACTCAATTTAGTATATTTATGATTTCGAATGAGTTTTTTAATATTTTTTCAATTTCAAATTCTTCATGATTTGATACCATAGTAAATAAAGAAATAGATGTGGATGGATTTGTGAATTATTTGGGTGTGATACATATTTATGCAATTGTGACATATGAAATACAAAGTGTTCACACCATTGAAAAATTGATTGTGGATAGATAAACTTGATTTTCTATTTGAAAAATCAACTCCATGTGATTGATGTGTTGATTTTCAACAATTATCAATTTCTACTTTGCTTGATGCATTCATTTGTGTATATACTAAAAAAAATCGTTGACCGTGACAAGTTTGGTTGAAAATTCATGTCATTTAGGAATTCTTGCCAAATTAGAAGTTGTCAAAGGATAAGCAGCATATATCAGATAAAATAAAGATATTTTTGTGGATGTATGAAATTTAATATTCTGGAATTTAGTTTATCTAGAAACTCATTTCTTTTCTTTTAATCTTTCACTCAATCTAAATCATACATAACTCGGAACTAGTAGGTTTCATCACCTATAGTCATGATTTCTTAGATGTAGGACATATTTACCATTGTGATTCTATTGGAATAGCCCCTTCATACCCCCATTAGGTTTCATCCCTATACCACTTACGGGTCTTCCCATCCTTTTTGCTATGTTACTCCGGCATTACTCGCTTCAATTATCATTTGGTTCAAATTTGTTCATTTGATTTCCGACAACATAATTATGAATAGATTTATAGTTGGATTGCGTCTACTATATAGATATCTACCAGCCAATTTCATCTTCCGCGAAAGTTTGATTCTACTTGCATATTCCAAGAAAGTGCTTCATGTGGGAATTAAATTGCCAGGTGCCTGAAAAGTCAGAACATCAACTTGTTATCCGTCATTTAACTTCGTCGTCCCCGACCTTTCACTACTAGAGAGTCACTCTAACCTGTCAGGTTTCAGCTTTCTTTTCGAGCAAAGAAGATAAAAAGAACGTAACGTTGATGAGACGTTGTCCCTTTCCTTCCAGAAATACAGATTCCACTGATGTTAATGGTTTCAGGAGGTTGATAGTGTCAAGTCCTGAACTGCAGTACAGATAAGAATATGTGAACTGCAGTAATTAGTAATGGTGTATATCAAGTATGTCTGTATGTATGTTCTAAGAGCGATACTTTTCTTAATCTCATGCATTCAGTACCAGGCTGTTTTCAATCACAAGACAAGAAGAGTACTGAGTTATGCTTGTCAGGGCAGAGAACAAAACTTGTTATCTTCAGCTGGACAATTCTGAGCGTGCACAGTCGTAGATAAACCGTTTTTGAAGCTGACAGTGTGTTCCTTTTTTCAGAAATCTGCGGGTTCTGCGCAGGCAATCCTGATCCACAAGCGCATCAAACATTTGTCAAACTGAAAGCTGCAGATGCGATTTGCGGTGTCACCCAGAGATCTACAATTGCATACGGTGCAACTCGAGAGGCCTGCAACTTTGAGGCCCGGTATATGGACATGTCCAGGGCCATAGAAATCGTGGCAAAGGACACCTTAACATGGCGTAGCTTGGGCAATCAAAGACTATATTTTTTATTATTATATTTGCTTGTCTTTTGCGAGACGCAGCATCTGGTTGTCGTGGATTTTGTTCTGTTCCTTTGGTTTCCCGGTATATGGACATGTTGACTACTTAGCGGATGGTGATTTTCTGATGATCCCTCCAGGGATTATTGAAATCCAGCCAGACGGACCCGTATTGATTATCAGAATCAGGGTGCTATCTTTCAGCTAAAAGGTTCTAGTTGATATGGCACGATGAAGAAGCATTATATTGTGTACTGGGCTATGAAGGGTTCCTGCGTTTACTGCATGAAGTAATGCTGTGTACCAGAGATCTCAATCCGCATGGTTGAATACTCGCAAGCTGATCGAAGGAGTTGTTGAAGGCATCTTCACTTAAATCAACCTGACACAGAACACAGCCTGGGGAAAATGAAAGGATGAGCATTAAATTACGGAATTGTATCTGGAATAAGCTGCATGTGGATGAATCTATGTGCATCTATCCAGAATGTTCAGAGGACCGTGGCAAAGGAAATACAGGTCAACGCATATTTATGCGTTGACCTTGCAATCAAAAGGTAGTGAGGTTCATCGACGTTTGAGATTGCTGCAGGTTCTGAATTTGACTCAAGTTCCGAGTCCGCCTTCTACATCGATTCCACTTTCAGCAATCCCAGAATTTTCCTATTACCGGAATTCAATATTTATGTGCAAGGCTGATGCCATGCTTAATTATCCTGATCGTTAAA